GGGGGGGGGGGGTGCACATATTAAACGGCCCATAAGTCAGTGAGTCCTTTGAAATTGTTCCAAAATATGAGTGTGGAGAAAGTGGCAGTACAATAAATGTACACCCCATCATAGTACAATACCAGTCAATGTAAATTACCACCTCCTACACCCCAGTTTTTACTTCTCAGCACTGCATAATCAAAATTGCTGGTTTTGTCTCTGTGAAGCTGCTTTGCCCCATGGCCTCCACTATTTCTAAATTTGAGCAGACACGGATTTATGTTGATACATAGTTTACCATAATCACATAATACTATTTAAAGATTTGCCTACCAATCTACTGCCTATTTGAAATTGAAGATTTAAAAGCATTATATTACTTGTAGGCACAGCAATTAGTCTTTCTCACGCCGCCATTATTGAGTGGCGTTTCTGCCGAAGTCTGCAGGATAAGTCCACATAACATTGACTTTTTTATAATTTTTAGACAAATGATGATAAATTTGCTTTGTAAATGGTTAGTTTATTTTGGAAAATTACTTTTCACATTGTTTTAATTGTCTCCATTGGTTAACGAAAATTAGATGCCACCCAAAAATGGCGGATATTCACCATCATGAAAAAGGTTAATTGCAGTAATAGACAGTTCGGGTAATTACGTCACGACTAACACTGTTTTCAACTTAGGACCACCTTAAATGGAATGGATTTAAGTTTGTTTCTCACGGGCTATGGTCAGAGAATGAGAACATCCTTCTTCAACACATGCATAAAAAAGAATTTTGGATTGTGACTAATAAATGTGGAAACAAGCTCAAACACGAAACGAGGCTGAGGAGCCAAGAGGGGCCCCTCAGCCTCGTTTTCGTGTTTGACCTTATTTCCACATGTAATAGTCAAAATCCAAAATTCTTTTTAAATTCTTTATTTATAGCAGTAAATATTAAATTGACTGACAATTTCGTGCTGCATATTGGATATATAACTGTTTGTGGTAAATATGATACTAACTATTGGTAACTAACGTACCGGTCATTAATGACAGAGACAGGGAGAATGGAGGAGAAAGTGGGGGGAGGTCCGGAATTTCATTTTTATCGATATGGGGGGTCTTGAAAAAAATATCCTGTTGAAGGAGGGACTTGAGTTTTTGCTAGCAAAAGTGTGATACTCATATAAATATTATCAGTCTTATTATTATCTCTTCAACCCAGTTTGCCTCATATTATAGCAGCAGCTTTCATATCAGAAATGCAGTTGTTTACATGTTCAAGTACATCTTCTCCAATGTAATTATTTTTCACTAAGTGCTTCAACCCATTTAAATGGAATCTTCTCTTAAGACATTCCTGTTTTCCCATGTTTATGTTTGCTTCCATGTTTATGTTGGAACTTAGGCCAACTCTGTCATATTATATCAAGCTGGCTTGGTCAACAACTAATTCTTTCAACATGTTTTTTGTCTGTTTTCAATGCAAGTTTTCCTTTCTCTGTTTGTTGTTTCTTCTCTATTCTTTTTCCCGCCTAGAGCATTTTTATTTCCTTTCACTGCGATGTCCTTTACCACTTAAGCCACTTAAGCCAACATGTTCATTAATAACTTTGTACACCTCATCAACATAACTGAGGGCCTTTTTGACAACTGCAAGAACACAAGAAAGCTTTTCATGCATACTGCTGTCAGCAAAAATTAATTTAGCCTCACCCCCAGGTCTGAGGGTCATATCTTCATTATATAGCACTCTTGTCTCATACTGATTATATCTATTATTTCAAGTTTATCTCCGTTTGCATTACATTTCTCCTGGTCTTGTAGCGTGCATTTACTTTTCTGTAAGTCTATGGAAGAAAGGTGGGCTGGAACCTTTCAATAATTCGCTGTTCTCTGAGAGAAACCGCTGCTTTCCTTCGTAATTGTGGCTTCAACAGAATCGCTATATTTTTCCAGTTGTGTCGTCAATTCAAATTGCCACTTTCTTTCAACAACAACATAATTTTTTAATTCGGAAGGAGTAGGAAAATCGTCATAATCTTCAAATAGTACTTGAGTAGTTTTGTTGTAGTACTTTAGCAGTTCCGTGTGTGGGTTTGGAAAGAGATACTTCTCTATCAGAGGTTTATCTGGTACGACGTTGTTCCTGTCAAAAGATAAATTAATACCATCAGAGGTTTGGAGCGTTAATTGTCTGCATAATTTTGCATAATTTTATAAACACAATTTACGAATGACAGTGGTTTTAGAGCTCGATTTGGGAATACTTCATTATATCAACATTTAAAGAACAACGGAGTGGTGAAAACAGGTTTTGCAATTACAATAAATATGGCCAAATATGGGAATTGATTTGCAACTGTACAGGTTACGTATTTGTCTTTACTGTTCGTGCTGGGGTGCACGTTTCCAAGGAATGCCCATAAAAATGGCTTTTTACAAATATTTTGGAAAGCTGTTTATATTTATATGTTTGATGTTACTTATTGCTGGTGTAGAACCTAATACCGGTCACACGCCTTCCAGTTCTAGGGACGGTCCTCCAGCAAAACGAAAGTATTTTATAAAGTCATGTAAAATACGGTTAATGCATGTCAACTGGTCATGTATTATTATAATATTATGTATTATATTAATTGTTTTTATATCAATTTATAATTTGCTTAATAGAATTAAATAGAGCCACAGGAAGAATGCGATTGAATCCCACAAAATCTCGCACATGCAGAGTTACGACAGAACGTCCACACAATTTCAGATTATGTCAAAGTATCGGATGCAGTGTTGTAGTTTGTCCATCAATCTATCTTTGCTTAAGGTTACAGAACACCTTTGAGTGTTAATTTTGCCTAAAATTTTTTTATTGGTTTCAATGAAAGCATTAGACTAGTTCTACTATCTGACCAAGTTTGAACGAAAAATGTTGAAAACTCGCAGAGTTATTTAATAAAATACATTTCGCTGCAATAAGAAAAAAATTGAAAATGTAGATATTCAAATTCAATTTTCTCCCGTAAAATTTTACGGTAATTACGGATTTTCAAATGAGTTGTGCTCCTGCGAGTTTTAACCGATTTTTCTCAAATTTACACAGGACATAGCTAAATACGTCAGTTTCAAAATGGTGTTCGGCTTTTCTTAAATTTTGGATATTTTAAAAATAAAGAGCAATTCACTCAAACAATAAACAATTCAGAAATATATTGCATGCAGTCGTCAAAGAAATCGCCATATCAGCGGAATGACGAAATAAACAAAAATTTTCGAACACAATTTTTTAGAACAACTATTTTACTGTATAAAAATGATAGTATACATATGCTCTTCGGGCGAACAGTGGAATATATATATATTATATATATATATATATATATATATATATATATATATATATATATATATATATATATATATATATATATATATATATATATATATATATATATATACTCTAAAACCAGTGGCAACGGAACAGGTTTTATTTTGGGGAGGCTAATCAGTTCCAGCTAAGTTGGGAACCATATAGTTAAGACTTTCAGCCAAGTGCAAACGTGGCACGTAACAGAGTAGCATAATAGGAACGGTGAAAACTAGGGGATCCTGGGGCATGCACCCCCGGAAAAAATTGACGCTCGGAAATGCTATTTCCTACACTTTCTGGCATTGAGTTGAAGAATTTGGAAGAACAAATGCTCATGCCTACACCAGACATTTGTGGCTTGTGGATTAAACAACTCTCATAGAAGAGATTCGGGACCGACATTTGCTGGAGTCTCATTCAAAACTGGGACCGACTTTTTGTGATTTTCGAGTGCGCCCCTGTCAAGGTGTAGTGTATTGATCGAGTGAAATGCTATTACTGAACATGTTGCATTTGTATTGAAATTTCGTATACAAGAAAAATATTTATAATGCAATGCACACATGTAAAACATTTCTCTTTTGAGTTAAAAATAACTAGTGTCCGATCATGTGTCAAATCCATGATTGGTTTGACCAAGTTTTCAGAATTATGTTGAACTTCGAACTAAGCGAAATAACCAACTAGCTAACTGCATGAGTGTCTAAATAATAAAAATCACCATAGTAAATATAATGATACTAACTTGCAAAAAAACTGTCCGTGTGTAACTAATGGTAAGTATCAAACCAAATAAGTTTCAATTAGGATAAGTAATGAACTCTAATTAACCAACTAACAAATTTAACCATAGCAATTATAGTAAACATTGTGCATATGTATATATATTGATATGCTGAGCGATTAGTGTACGTCGCCATTAGTATGGTTTCAAGTTCAATTGGGAAAAAAAGATAGATGAAGGCGTTTTCCAAATACGATCAAAATTGAACGACTCCGAAGGGGGAGTGCAATTTGACGTCTTTGAAAAACTCACGAGTGCACGTTTTGCCAAAGTGCACGAGAAACCATTTACTTATTAATAATGTAAAAAAATACACGCTTCGATAACACCTGTGCACTCACCTACACCGTTTAAGCACTGTTTTCATTGCCGTTAGCAAACATTTTCAGTCTATTTGCTCCGTGTACTCAAATTGTAATATTCATGTAATAAATCAATTCTACGTAAGGTTTACCTCCTTCACAGCCTTGAGAATATTCAGAACAGCTGACAATATCTTGAGTAGAGAGGACATAACTAGTAGAACGATTAGACTGAATACGGGAACGGGCTTCAAACATTCCCATAGTAGAAAACGCATAACAACTTCCACATTGTGCCTGATTCCGTACAGGGCTCACGTAATTTATTCCGTCTACATTCCGCCAATCAAAGGAAGCTGGTAGTCCCTGTGAGGCCTGAAGGTCTTTTTTCTTGATGGGTCTAAATAGAAAATAAATACATGTAATTCAAATAGCGTTGTCCTCTGACGGTCAAAAATTCGGCCACTAAGCTCGAAAAGCCAATGGGCGTGTTTATTAGTATAGGTAATAGCATGGTTTCGAGTGCAATTTGGATATAACATGGACGAGCGAGTTTTTCAAAGACCTCAAAAAAACACGAGTCCGAAAGACGATTGCTATTTGAGGTCTTTGAAAAACTTACGAGTGCATGTTTATCCAAATTTCACGAGAAACCATGCTACAAGTATTACTTATTAATAATTTACATAAAAATGTTCGAGACAATTGTAGTTTTAATAACTTACGCGTTCATAGCGAACATTCCACCTGCAAAGTTTTCCTGGCTTTGTTATATGACATTAAACAACGCTAACAGCTTGAAAATTCCACTCAACTATGTAATTTTTGTTAGTCATGTTTAAGGTACATGCTTTTCCTTTCATATTTTCCACGCGAAGGTAACTTTTACTTTATGTAGCGCGGCGCCATGTTTGTTTTGCTTTGAAGCAATCTGTGACCGTTACTTCTTTAAACTAAATTGCTTTAAACTGATTGGTTGATTTACTCATCACAATGTTTTTCCACCAATCAGATCAGTTTGTTACAGATTCTTGCACTGTGATTACCGAAAATTGCATTGTGATTACAAAAAATTGCACTGCATGTGATTACAGAAAATTGCACTGTGATTACAGAAAATTGCACTGCTGTTTGGGATTAACTACACTGAAATCAACCAATCACAGTCGAGTAATATCTTTATGTATATTACTATCAGAGTAACATCACAAGCATCTTATCACCTGAGTACATCACACCAACACACAAAATATTGTAAAATTCGTTATCCACGACATGTTAGGACTATGTTGTTATGTCTCGCTTAATATAAAGCCAGGTTTACAATACCAATTTTGTCGGCGATTTCGTGTTTCTGACATATCATTCGATCACATTTGCCAGGGGGAGAAAAATCGCCGACAGGATGACTGTGTGGACCAGGCTTAAGTATATGTCTATAGTATTCATGCTAGTCAAGTGATATATAACGGCAAAAAGTTGACAACCTTTCCTCGACAGGTTTTGGAGACAAAAATTTTGTTCATATGTACGGCCGTCAAGGAAAACTTGACAAGTGCACAGGAAATATTTCCGTGGTTTTGGCAAACACAGCAGGCATAACGCTCCAAATACAATGGCTGCTATTGATATTCTTTTGTTAGCGTTCCTCCAACATGACCGCCATTATGTCAACTGCAAAACAAGAATCACATGCTGTATGCATGTCCATCGTTCTATTCGCGCTTAGAGGTTTTTGCGATTTGAGTTTTGATCCCCACGTGACGTCATATGAAACCCGGAAGTTGAATTAGCAGTTTCACGGTATCAGATATACATATGGTTTGACACACATATATATAAATTTTAGACTATGCACACCGGACAAGCAAGCTGAAAATTGGCTTGACCTTGGCGGAAATCAAACAATTTTTCAACTTGCTCGGTATGGAGCCATTCAGAGAAGAATAATCTAAAACAAGACGTTCAAAAGAGCGGTAACTCGCTCGGGCTATATTATAGTGATACGTGCATGTTAGATGGTACACACGCAAAAATCTCACATCTTGTAACAAGTTTGTCAACAAGCCGTCAACAAGTTGTCTTCGCACTGCTTGTCACAAGTTGTCAACAAGTTTAGAACAAGCTGTTAAAATTCTTCTTCTAAAACTTTCACCTTCGTTCATTATAAACATTTATTTTGTAAATGTTTATAATCGGAATTCTTGAATTTAGTTTACAAAATGTTTAAGCTGTTAAAAATTCGTAACAACCTTGTTGATATTATCAGGCTTGTTACAACGTTGTTCCAACAAGTCCGATACAGTCATGATATAGCAGTATTGTTACAACCTTGTGTCGTCAACCTTGTAACATTCTTGTTTATCATGACTGTATCAGACTTGTTAGAACAACCTTGTAACAAGTCTGATGCCATCAAGTTGCTACAAGTTGTTAACACCTTGTTCCAAACTTGTTACAACAACTTGGGACAAGCAGTGCGAAGACAACTTGTTCACAGCTTGTGAACATATTTGTAACAACTTGTTTGCAGACTGGTAACAACTTGTGCGTTTTTACGTGTGTACTACTGTATAGTACAATCATATGGCCAATTGAAGAGATGTCACCCGTCCCTAGTTGCAAAATCTTTATACTTTCTTCTTCTAAAAGCATAGTTAATATTTGACTTCCACTACCGCCACAACTACCTCTCAATAACTTAATATGCATCTGATTGGTTAATCGGATATATCAAACGCATCTGATTGATTACGTCCCTTGAAGTCAAATCTGACCCCTAGCGATCGCAGTTTCGGAATCAAGAGTATTTTTCAAAATATAAAATACTCATGTATGCATGCACATCATCGCCATCAGAATTGACCACTAAATTAGCAATATATTTTTGACTCAAAAATAACGCATACATAACGTTATTATAATAACGTTAATAACGTTAAAAAAGTTATTATTATAACGTATACATAATGTTATTTTTTTGAAAAATAACGCATCCACAGTGACTCAAAAGTAAAATTACTTAAAATTATGAGCAAATTTACTCACTTTTTGAGTAAAGTAAATCTTTAAATTATTTTTTAAAAAGGGTAAATTTGAGACTTTACTCAAAATACTGAGCAAACCAAAACGAACGAGATGCCCAAAATCTTGATATATACAAGTATACAGTATGTGGGGCAATATATGTAAACACTTTACGGTGTATATGTCTTACCTTGGGGGAGGTGGGTTGAAAGTCTTTGGTCCTCCAGCTCTGGACATCATCTCTCTCAATGTCAACTTTTCATACTCTTTATAGATTGTGGGAAACCAGTAATTCTGTTTCTCGGTGATGGCAGCAAGGAAGTCTTTATTTGGCCTATATGGTCTATCGTATAAAGCTGACGCCAGTAATGGTGCATTGCTAAATTTGGGAGCAATGGATTGCGCTTTTTTCCCTGTGAATAAATAACAATGAGTGATAAGAAGGAATTTCATATTCGCAACGATTGTGGGCAAACATTTGACGAGACGCACAACCAGAAATTGCAAGCACAAATAGAATTTTAAAAAAATTCAACAACTGTTACTTATGAAATATAACCAAATAAATAATTAAGGCAACAAAATTTAGTGTTCCTCAAGTTTTAGTGGGCATTGTTAACTTATTTGTAAAATATTTAAAAAATAGAAGGACTCAAAGTTTTACGTATATGTACGAAAAACGCAGCCTTTAAAGTGACAATGCGCTCTGATGGACATTACTTTATTATTTTAGTTGGCCTAACGCCGGGCGATTTTATTTTTTAAGGGGAGAGTACTGCCACTCAATAGGTCAAAGTCCTCTTTCTTTCCTAAGGCTTTTAAATGTTTTCCATTTAAAAAACGTATTCTTCATATACATTTTGTGACGCCCGCACATAATTGAGATATACATGTATTCAGTAAGTATATTGCCAACATTTTCTTGATATTTCCTTGTCCATGTCTTAATTTATTCCATTTTTTCTTGGTATATTTTTCTTCGAAAACGAAATTCGCATGCATGGGCATAAGCAGTAATTTGACTGACAGCATAACAATCTAAGATGTAGTTTTTATCTTTTACAACCTGCCATACTTTATGAAGCTATATACATGTAACTGAAACTTTGGAATGACGTTTAATCGTTTAAGTGGCAAAGCGCTCTGAGGTGCCATCTGTCTAAAGCCAGATAATGTTACTCGTCAAGGGGAGAGTGCTGCCACTCAATGTGTTAAATGTGAGGCTGAGCACAATATTCAGTTAAAGGCTATTATTAAAAAATGAAAAATGGAATAACAAGCTTGGAATAAACCAGACATTCAAAATTGAAGCTCGAGATCATGGGCTTTCTGGCGGTTCAGACCTTGATTTCTTTTCGAAGCAGGGAGAAACGGCTTACCTGGTTTCTCCAAAGAGGTTAATGCACCAGTCAATGTAACCCCCCCCCCCTCCCCAACCGGGGAGGGGCGGGGATTTTGACTTAGAGGGGTAGTAAAAGAGCAAAATTGTCCCCGCCCCTGGGGAAAGGGTAATTAATCAATGTCCCCGCATGTCTCTCAACCCTGGAAAAATAACTTTGTATATTTCATGGATCAGCAATAGAAAATCAAATTTATTTATGTTATTGTATTTAAACTTTTCCTGTAAAGAAGATTAATTAAAACATCAAGACAGGATATATATGTTAACCACTGAATCCATTCTCCCACTTTCGTCCCCGCTTCGTCTACCAAAAGAGAAAATAATGTCCAAGTCCCCCACCATCGGAGACAAATTTACAATCAAAACTGACCACTTTCCCCGCTAAATCCCCGCCCCTCCCCGGTTGGCGGGGGGGGGGATTTACATTGACTGCGGCACAATTAAGAGTGATCGAGTTACCATTCCTAAAACAATCATGCAAAGATCTGATGTCAGGGCACCTATGTTGCAACGTAAAAAACCGAACTTGTTCACAAAATAATCTGTGGGGCGAACGTGCAAGTGGGATGAAACAGAACTGAAAAATTTCTCAAGGGTATATATATATATCTTTACCGTATAAGAAATCTCATCATGATCAACCTTTTCACTGTAAAAGTTCCCAGATGTATGTCATTCGATGAATAGTAAATTAGTTTCCTTTGTAAATTAGTTTTCGCTTCAAAAATTCATTGACTCACATCATATCCAAAAACTTTGAGAGTGCAAATTTGATGAAAATGAGATTTTTAACTGTAAAGATATAACATGTATTCCTAGAATGACCCAAATAATACACACACATACACAAGAAATCATATTTGGGGTTGGACCTATTATGGCCGCATATACTACGAAACTTGCTTGCCAGTAAACTCAAGAAAAAACAATGATAGTGGACACTTGTCCGCGACCGGATACTACAATGCATGCAAATGTGATTTGTCCAGATGTGATTTGTTTCGATCTTTGACTTTGTTCTGTCAATAAGCTAAAAAGAGCCCAAGAAAATTCTACATGCATTTGTCTTCAAGTAAATCCTCAGTAGTCAAGAGGTTAAGGCGCCTGCCTTCTTTGCGCTAAGGCATCTCCCAAATTTGAATTTGTGGAAGGAATTTCACTAAGATTTTGTAACCTGCAAACAGGTTGCCTTATGAGTAAGGGTTCGATCAAGAAAGATTTAGAAGCATGCCCCGGCCTTATGACATGTTACAGTCTGTTCAAACACCCTTAACCCCCTGAGCACCACATAATTTGTGTACACATATAGGAGGGGGTATCACAAAGCACTGTGACATGATCAATGGAAAGATCAATGTGAGTCAATACCACAAAAAATTATATGAGCTACCTTCAACAAAATACAGTACAGTAACATATTTTCATAGAATTGAACTAAAGTATTTTCATTCTGTGAAATGGAGTGATCGCTTATACAGTATTAGGTCCAGCAGGCCCACATACTTTTCAACATGGGTAATGCCAATGGTCTTAGATTGCCACGGGGGATAAAGGAGAGTCCAAAATTGACAAACAAAGGCCTAACATAGCGTGAATGGCCGCGAAACAGAAAATGGAAAAATTCGGATGGGGTTGGGGCCAAACGTCAGCGATCTCCATCTTGATATAAAATAGAATTGCCTGCAAGTTAGGCCCAGTCAAATGTCGCTCATCTCATGCACCAAACGCAATTGCCTTATGAAGTGCTACACAAGAGCAACATTTGATTATAGATTAAGCAATTGACAGTTAGCCTATTATGAACAAGCTTTCTTTGATAGTGATGCAACCTCCTGAAAAGAAGAATTCCAACATTTCAAGCCAAGGCCCTTCGTCTGGACTCTGGAGTTACTTGGCTAGTAACTCCAGACGAAACACCTTCTCTCACAACCTTTGGAATGCTAGCCCAAAGTATTGTGCTAGTACCTTCGAAGTACTAGCCCAAAGTATTGTTGTATACTAGCCCAAAGGCAAAGTATTGTGCTAGTACCTTCGAGGTACGAAGCACCTTCTCTCACAACCTTTGGAATACTAGCCCAAAGGTCGTAGGTTCGATTCCACCGTGGCCAGGCATGATATTTTTCAAGCCTGCCCGGTATGGATTTACACTCAGAGTAACACCACACAAGCATCTTATTCACCGAGTACATTACACCAACACAGCAAAATCTCTCACAACGTCGAAATTCTCCTTATATTTTTCAGGTAGTTGCATCCCTGCCATTGAAAGCTTATTCTTATCATTGGCAACACCTACTGTACACTGGCACAGACAGGTACCCTATTGCCCTGCATATCAGCACAATGCCCATAATCAAATTTTCTGCAATTTTGCAAACATTTTAGACTTTTTATAGGCGCATGCACCTATAAAATTTTGCTCATAAGCGCACCCGACTCTTGTATCCACACCTACAGTACATGCATGAGCTATGGGTATGAGAATTTAAATTAGCAGTCACTGCAAAATAGCAATGGTAGTATAAAAACAAATTTAATGAACACTACAATTTACAATAGACAATGTTGATAATTTAACCTATTGAGGCACATTGCGACTGATCCGCCCTACTTTATTATTTTACTCTGTCAAACGCCCGACGATTTTACTCATCACGGGTAGAGTGCTTGTACTTAATGGGTTAACTAACCTGAAGTTCAGGCCCTAATTTTAAGTAGGGCCTGACACAAAACCCGTCTAAACTGTGGGATTCCCGTCCATCTGGTGATTGGTTGATCAGCATCATGAAAGATTTTGATTGGTTGCAAGTTCAGATAAACAATAGTTTTAAAAATAGGCAGAAATTAAGGTCAAATGTATGTATCAAACTTTACATTATCGAATTTCTTTTCTTTCATGCTTTATGGCAGAAAATAAATTCATCAAAAAGTATTTTGAAAGGGCTTTATCAAAGTCTTTGACGAAGTTTGGACACACAACGCTGAAAGAACAGCAAAACTAGTCATGTATTCGAAAGCTTGTTGACAGCCCAGAGACGGATTTTCATATTTTCGTTCGGGCGGGGGGATAAATATTTGGGGGGGGGCAGGTGCTGCTGCTTGCTTTGGCCGGGGCGTGGTCACAACGCCCGGAAAGGCCAAGGAGAAAGTTTAACAACAGTTGTTTTCTAGGCCTGCATGGCGAGATCTGAGACTATAATATTGGTAATTTTACAAATTTAGAAGTAATATAAGAATAATCAAATATGAAACTATCAAATCAAAATATATATAATTTGCGGGGGTGCAAAAACTCAAATGCCTCTGGGGGGGAGGACAAATCATTTCTGGGGAGGGGGTGCGCACCCCCCAGAAAATCTGTGCCAACTGGCTTCGGCAAAAGTCTTATTTATCAGGTCCAACCGGCATTCTTTTCTGAGCTACATCGCCTTCTTTGTTGCACGATTGAGAATTACGTTGTTGCTGTTGTTAGCCTGTTAGAATATATCCACATCCAGGAAGTTGAGACCTTGACTCAAGGCTTGAGAAAGCTTGGCATTCAAGCCTTGCACAGAACTGACTAATTAAATATTTGTTTGCTGTTCGGTTAAATAGAGAAACTGAACTTTTAATTATATAAAAGTAGCTTGAATATTTAAGTTTAATTAAAAAGCAAAATGTACACTCTGCTGACATGTTCGTGAGAATATAATTTTTTTGTGCAATGAAGTCACAACACTTGTCAACCATATTGCACGACTGTGTCTAAAAATAACATGCAGGTGCCCCACGGTCTAGACAGGTTTTGTGTCAGGCCCTAAAATTAGGGCCTGAATTATGTTCGACATTTGATTTAATACCACTCCAACATGATTCTAATGGGATCAAAATGTATCAGCAGTGACGCAGGAAATATTCTGACCAGCAGGGCTGCGCCACCTGGGGGGGGGGGGTATTAACCATCCCCCAAAGAAAAGTAAAAAAAGGGGCCCAACTTGCAGAGAGGGGGCCCTGGGAAGCAGAACGTGTTAAATATTAAGAAATTTTCTGGAAAATTGGTCTAAAAAGATCTAAAAACTAAATTTAAGCCCTCTTTATTTAAACCTACAGTAGTGTTTAAAAAAATTTTTGGGACCTCCCCCTCCCCAGTATTTTCCAGAAAAATTCTTTGGTTTCTGGAAAAAATTTTTTGAGGGGGCCCCCAAATGGGAGGGGCCCAAATTTTTTATTTCACCCCCCCCCCCCAACCAAAAATCATTTGGCACTGCCCTGCTGACCAGTACAAGCATATGGATTATATTTTCATTTCTTATGATGGAAATTTTATATCTTCCTATGTTTTTAATGTTCTGGATTCGCTTGTGATTAATTTTCCCTGGGAGGGCATATAATCCTAGAAGGACATTGTACTATATCATGCATGGACAGCAAGCGAGTCCAAATACATTTTCACATAATAAACAAACTTTATTTAACCAATCGGTGGCGTCAGGGTGGGGAAATAACGGTGGAATGGCCTTTTCCCCCAGGGTACAGGGTAAATAACAAGTCAATTTATTAGCCAGGACAATAGTCGGCTGATATGAAAGTGGACTGGAACAAGTTTATCCTTGTGGCATTTATAAACTTTTGTCTGTTTTGTCATAGTTTTTCTTAAATGATGACTGCAAGATAGTCGTCTGATTGCAAGGTAACTTTAACAGTCAATATTCCCCCAGTAGCAGAAAAAATACCAAAATTTAACATTGTCAAAATGTTAATTTCTCCGGCCTATCTCGGGGGCCGGGGAACAGAGAAGAGACATACAGAACCGTAACTGACCGTTGTAAACACTGCGGAAGCTTACATTTACATGCACCCACTTTTTTTCAGGTGACTGGGCAAAAAATGATCAACTGCACATGCTCAGCAAGTTTAAAGTGAGTCATCATCAGGTCATCATCCAATCAGATGCATGCATCTAGTAACTTGCTGAGCATGCACACAAAAAAAGTGGGTACATTAGTTACGTCTCTGTATGTCTCTCCTCTGTGGCCGGGGGGTTTGAATTGACTAGTGCATAAAATAATAAAGTAGGTGCATCTTGGCACATTGCCATTTAAAGGAGTAAATCCATTTACCGAGTCAATTCCAAGTCCGAGTCAGCCCTGAACCTGAGTCAAACGCCCAAGTCGTGTAAAAAAAGACAAAAGTAAAGACAATTCACAATCAAATAGTGTTAGGAGTAGGTTTAGGGTTAGGGTACCAAGTCATTTTACCGGCAAAGACAGTTAAACAGTTACTCGGACATTTGACTCGCAAACTCAGATTTGAGTCGGTCAGTCACCGACAAACTCCAAAATTGAATAAAATTCACAGTTGAATAGGGTTAGGGTAAGTTAGGAGTGGGAATCGTGGGATTATGGTTAGGATTAGGGTACTAAGTCATTGAACTACAAAGACCATCGATTAAACTATGACTTGGACATTTGACTCAGACTTGGACATTTGACTCAGGCTCAGATTTGATTCAAACTTGACTCGGTTAACCGACAAACTTCCATTTAAAGGGTTAAACTAGCATGAGCCGCAAGGTAAAATTGCTTCTGCTTTTTCTTGGATTTTCACAGCCCCCTTGACTAGAAGTAGAAATAATGGCTACGTACGTCATTGTCTATTATGTTTGGCACATGAAAAGAGCAATGTTTGAGCTAATAATCTCACCATAATAACATGCCCAATTCTGACTAACATCTTGTGCATCATGTGACCAACCAGGGAGCGTCTGATCACAGTAACTCACAGCACCACTTCCAGATCCAACATACTTCGAAAAAGCAAAATATTTTGTACCATTCAAGACAACTTCGAAACCTTGATTATAGATCAGCGTCCAGAATCCTCTGTTGTAGTTATCATCCAACGCAACGTCTGGGAACAGCAGATGAACGCGAATTTGTGCAACAATTTTGAAACTTGCATCACACTTTATCGTATTGTCGTGGCCATTTTCACCGATATAGAACGTCCATGTGCCCTGGACGTCTTCAAATGTACAGTTTGCAGGGGTATCTGCATAAATACCCGCGAAAATTGCAACAATATAAAGAACGACAACTTTGAAGAACATTATGTATAGTTGATTATCCTCTGTATCACAACAATGATTATCATTTATCAAATGATTTGCATGTGACCAGTGCTTCCAATTGGCTTAGCCTGCGAACAGGCTCTCAAGGTGAAATGGCATGTTGTAAAAGACGGGGACTGGACTGGACTGGACCGGGAAAACGCGGACTGAGTCCGTGTTTTACAAATCGCGGACTGAATTTGTAAAACACGGACTGGACTGGACTCGACCGGGAAAACGCAGACTGAGTCCGTGTTTTACAGATCGCGAACTGAGATTTGTAACTCTCTCCTCCGCAGAGGTTTCAATGAGCTAAAACGTGGACTGAGTTTATGTTTTACAAATCGCCGACTGCGATTTGTAAAAGGCAAACTCATTCAATACCGTCGCTTGCAACTAAGGAGTAAGGATGAGCGGTCGCAGAATACGCAGATAAAAGTCATAAAACACTGTCTATTCTTATGACAAAGTTCAATCTTAAGTTTTTACCGGGAAAGTTCAATGTTTGTGATGATCATGATCATTTGGTAGTTTCAAAGCTTGGATCTGGTTGTTCAACAAATTAAAATCAGATCAAAACCTGTCAAGTGCTCTTGACAAACATCGAAGATTCTCACGCGAATAGCTGCCTTCCCATCAGCCCCTTCACCCATCTCTCCCCACTACAATACTTCATGTAAACTCGTCATATGCGCATCACTGTTTTTTACCTCAGTAACTCTCATATATAACCACAGTTAATAGACTATTAACTGTGATATAACAAAATGGCCGATAGTGATGTACTTGAAAAATACAGGGAGAAATTCGAAGTTTCGAGCGAACTTCTTTCGTTGGGAAGTTAGTTCTTCGTCGAGAAGTTTGCCTTTACTAACTCGCAGACAAAGGGCCTTCCCTCGAAACGTCGAATTTCCCTTGTATTTTCCACGCACTTCCATTCCTATCAACCAAGTTTTGCTATATATATTGCCACTAATAATCTACACTGTTACATCCTCCTTTTCATTATTTCTCTGCTAATCTTCTGACAGTCTCAATATTTATACGCGACAAAATAAAGTGTTCACCCTCAAGCAAAATAAACAAAGTCGTCACGAATGCCAGGCGGGAAATTGCCCGCCAAGAACAAATTTACTCATACATGTATTTTCATCCTTGTATCATTTGATTGGACGAATCCTTTTTTTCCGCGTGTGAGAAAATTCTTTCCCATTCCCCATTGCTTTGCGAAGCGAGATTTCTCGTAAGGGACCGTTCATTAATTAAGGACCAG